GGGGGGGGGGGGAAGAAATGAGGAAAGAAGAGAAATAAAGAGAAAAGAAAAGGTAAAAAAGAGGATGAAAAGAATAGCTAATAAAAGAACAGAAAGAAGAAAAAGAAAGGAGCAAGAGATTTAAGATTGCACATCAATGGGTGTGGGAAAGTACCTTTGAGAAGAGTTGAGGAATAAAGTATAACAGGGAAATTTAAAAGAACATACATTGATCTACATATGCAGGATAAGAAACAAAGGGGAGAGGCCATGGAATAGTAGGTTGAGAAATGCAAATACTTTCTTCTGCAATTCCATCCTTATTGTAATTTTTCTTTTCCATTATCATTGGAAAGGAAAAGGGGAGACTGGGAGCAGCTAGAGTGGGGAAACCAGCTCAGGAAGGTGAAAGGAAGATGCACACTCTACTCTCCCCCATACAGAAGCAGCCATGTCCACTTCCTTGATGTTTACCAAACCATCCCTTTCAGCATTTCTTTTCTTCAAGGATCTCAGTGTCTCCATCACACTCTGCCAGGTTGCTCCAGAAAAAAACAGTGGAGATTAACAGTAAGATTTGCTTGCAAAATAGCACAGAACTGAACTGGGAATATTGTGGGAAACAACAATTCTTCGTTCAGTTCTTGGGAGGCATTGCAAAAGAGATGGGCCCTAGAGAAGGAACTGGAATCCAGAGAGGGGATGTATGAGACATTCTATGGGATAGACGAGTGATGTTGGAGCCATCATGGTCCAGAAAGCATGCAAGAACAAGGTTTTCTTAGGGTGATATCTTTTATTGGACCACCTATGTTGTTGGGATAGTCAGACAAGCCTTCAAATGCAGGACCTGAGGAACAATGTCTTGTTTCCTAAAGCTTTTCTAACTCTATCCCAACTACACAGTTGTTTCAATAGAAGATAATACTCTAAGAATTCCTTGCCTCTCCTATTCTATGGGGTCACTCTATGAGGTCGTTCTCTGGGGGCAATGTAGAAAAATGCAGAGAACTATGGTTGGAGGGATGGGGAAGTACATGACAAATGCCCAGGCAGCAGCAACAACACGGCAGGATGATATGGAGGGGAGCAAAGTCATTGCTTTTAGACACAAGGCCTTAAAAGGAATAAGAAATTTTAATAGACAGTTAAAGACAGATGAAGGAATGGAGCAAACACAAAATTGCTCAGATCTGAGCAATAGCACAGCCTCAACTAATTAGCATTGTGCAATGATGTCTGCATCCTTGCCTGGATGAAATAGGCTATGAATTTGTGTCCCGTTGCCAGAGCAAAGCAATGCAAACATTGCAGCACTATGTCAGGACATTGCTTTCTGCTGTGCGCTATATAAGGAAGCAGCTCTGCAAGTACAGTACCACTGACCTAGTTGATTCTTTTATCAAGCCACAGTACTCCTAGTCTGAAAGGCTAGCTACTAATATTCAAAATGAGGGCTGGTCTACCCTCCTCTGTGTATAACAGGCTGAGGATTTTACTCTGGGATTTTTGCCCAGCCACAAACATCTCAAAATAGTTTTTGTTTAGTTCTCTGAATGTTCTTGTAGGGACCTCCACTGGGAGTATATGAAATAAATAGCTTATCCTAGACAGACTATTTATTTTCAGGATGTTTACTTGTGCAATCCATGTGATTGTCAAGTGCCTCAATTTCTCAAGCTCTCTTTCAGTTCCTTTGGGGCATATAACTTAAACCAAGCATCTTGCCCCATTTATTGATGGAATGTTAGTCCTAAATATTGAGTTGGTAGTTTCTAGTGCCCTATTTAAAGTGTAATTATTAATACAGCTAGAGTGGGTGATTTAATAGCCTAAGATTAGGTTTGAAATACATCAACTCCCTTAGAACAGCAAGTTCAAGTCCCAGCGAAGTCATCTCAGCTCCTCATTTTTCTGTGATGGAGAAAATATATTCTATGCACCTTTTCAGCATGGATTATCTGGATAAGGCCCTGCTGCGTCATTCATGAAGATTGCATGACAATTTTTTAAAGGAGGACCGTACTGCAATGTCTCTGTAAATGTCCTTCCCCTCTTCCCCCACCTACTTATGCAGTGTACTGTACATCAGTTGCTTACCACTGTTACCTGTGAGGCAATTCAGCAGTGTTGTGTGATACAGTTTTGAACTCAGTTTGAAAAGGAACTTGGGTGCAACATGAAAAAAAAGATATCATTACAGCTTTGTGCATTTCTCACCTCCACATTGATATTTTTGAGCAGTTGTTTCAAGGGGTTTCCACAAGCAACCATGCCCTTTTCGTTGTAAACAGGGTAATATTATGACCAGCTGCATTAATTAAAGATACTTGCATGGTAAAGTGCCTGCCAGCTGTTTCTTTTTTACCCCATCTGCATCCTTATCATAAGGGTGAGGTAGAACAAAAGGCTAAGAAAAAAATCAAGGCAAGCATGAGAACAAAATTCTGTTTTTGTAGCAAAGCAGTAAAATTCTTGGGGCCAGATCCTCAGCATGGCATGAAGCTTATGTACCATACAGGGCTTTTTTGAATGGATGTGCAAAAGGCCAGAAAGACAAAAGTGGTGGTTATCCCAACAAATGTTGCTAGATTGACCTACAAACTGCATAGAGCCAAACTTACATTCCCTGTGACGAGTAACACTTTAGTTTTCTTGTTTTGTTTATTTAATTTGCAATTGGGTCCACATCAAAACTTTTATAAGGATGGTAAAACATATGATTAGGAGGAACTAGAGGATGACTTACTTTGCCTCATTACAAAAGAGAATCCTGGGAAATTACCTGGGTTATAAGAGCTTTGGTGGCACTGAAAGCCGAGCTAACTGGAAATCAGGGAAGCAGTGATAAAGAAGTCTGTTAATATTGGGTAGCTCCAGGAGGTCTGGTAAGATTGTTTCACAAGAAGACATAAAGAATTACAAAACCATTCTCAGTGGAGTCTAATTCCAGTATGGTTTGGCTTATTGTTTTGGAGTACCCTACTAAACCAAGTAACTTGGATTTTTTTTAAACCCTTACAATAGCAAAAAAATTCCACATGCAAACACTTTAACTGGAAATAACCAGAAATCCAACTTTAGAAGCAGAACTAATTCCCTATTACAAAGTTAAGTGTTAACTTATGATCATGACTGTGTTTTCTGCTAAGAACATCTGTGCCTGTAGATTAAAAGAATGTGTGTTTATTTATGGTCAGTTTCTATGAAAGGAATATTTTTTAGAAATATACATCTTAAAAGGTTAGGACCTACTTAAAGGATGGCAGCAGGGGGAATCTCTGACCACTGGTACAGTCCAAAAGGGAGGAAAAAAACAGTGACTAAACTGGATTCTGGGGTAGTACAATGCACAAAGTATATTTAAAATATAAACTGATTAGATAAGATATTAGAATAATTGAAGTGCCTTAAAGTGTTGATGGTCCTGCCTCTCTCTCATTTGGCGTCTTCTAAAGATGCAAAATGGGTTAAAAACTGCTAACCTCAGGTATAGTTTTTTGCACAGGTGCAAACAGCCTCTTGGAAACTGTGGGGAATTAGATCCCATGACCTCAATGGAAGGGCTGATTATTGTATTTAAGGTAGTTAACTCTACTCTGTTTGTGGTACATACATTTGCTTCATGCCTTTTCTGTACAGTATTTAATACAATAAAAGCTGCTAAATTGAGCGCTACTAAATGTTTATAAGACCACTGAAGAATGATGTTTATACCCTGCTGGCATTCAACCTTAAGATGCAGTTCTTCCTAAAATTTAAACATTTTTTTTTCTTCTCTTAAGAAATCAAAGTTCCTCTTGTTGTCTTCTAGACTTTGTGCCCTATTAAAGCCCTGAATTTGAAAATGGTTTTGGCAACAGCAAACTCCTTTTGTACAATCAGGGTCCAACAGCAGAAGTAGGGAAAATAACTGCTTTCCTTGTACTACTTCTTCTGGTGCTTCTGCAGTATTTTCAAGTCAGATTCTGTCAGATAAGTGCAAAGATTTATTTAAAGCTTGATACCATCCCTTGATAAACTTTCCTATAGTTTGGCTATGCCTGCAGTCCAATTTTGTTGTACTAAAATTGATGGGAGCTTGGTTGCCAAAAATCTGGCAACTTCAGGATCTCGCCTAGAATAGACTGGAGTGGAAGTTTCTCATATTACTAATTTTTGTGTGCTTTGACTCTTGCATAAGGAGGCTTTATAATTGGGTTACACTATGCTAATGATTTTGAAATACAGCAATTATGAACTGTCAAATACTGTGACCCAAAAAAATTATTAGGTTTCCATAGTCAATTCAGAGGAATAAGACTATCCTAGCCTCCATACTTTCAAAGAAAACTGCAGATATCGTGAAGATAACTTACACCAAGAACTTTTATTTATTTATTTATTTATTTATCTGGAAAGCCACTTAAGTTTTAGTGAGCCATCAAGAGCCACAAAGGTAGCCCTACCCCTTGACAGGTGCCCCACCTTCTGGTCACCAGAAGTCCCACCCATAACCCCTGACTT